CCCTTGGCTGCTGTACAGCTTTCTGCCCTTCTTTTAAAGTTGAAGAACTCGTCTGCAGCTTTAGGGGCCGTGTTAGATGTGAGGCCAGAAACAGAACTGGTAGAGGCGGCAGAGTGGTGCGCATTTATAAGAGCTGAAAGGTCTCCTGCAACTGGAGAGTAATAGCAGTAGACTGACTCCTCGGGGGCTGGCTCATTGGTCAGAGACTTGAGGAAATTCAGATTGTCTGTGACCGAAGCCTCAAATACTGCTAAGGCGGCAGGTAGATCAGATACTGAACCTACAGGAGAGGGCACCTTCGAACGCTTGCAACCAAATGGGTAATTTGTGCCATAAAGGTCCTGCATGACTGCAGTAAAAACCTCACCCAAGAGGGCCGAAGCCACACCTGACGGAGCCAAAGACTCCAATGAGGAATTATACTCTGATATCAGAGGGCAGCGGGATTTTTTTGCTAGAACACCGGCTTCACAGGCAATCTGGAAGCCAGGCGACGGGGTCATGGTCAGCCACCCGACTTCCTGATAATCGGGGTACAATGCACAGGTACTCGATATGGAAACCCGGTATCGGTGCGTCCCTAATAAACAGGCTCGCACCATTCTTGCAGGGGCAGATGGAGGAAACCATTCGATCTTCCGATGAGGGGTGGAAGCCGCGAGCCTCTGAAAGATGACGCCACCTGACCATGTGTAATACCGTTCCACCACCCGTGTGCCGGCAGGAGACGCAGTATGACTGCACATCAATAACCACACGTATGAATTAGCCAAAAATATTTTAATCATCAGTTTTAAAAATGACATTTTATCATATAAAAAAATAATAAATACTTTGTATCGAGACTCTAATTTACAGAGTTCTACAACAGCAAGAGTAAAGAGTACCTGTATACACCGGAGGAATCCATTTTCTAAACCTGAAGGAAACCTGCACTGGAAGACTTACGCAGGAGGCCACTCCTGACCCCCTTGCCTGGACCTCATGCTGGTCCTCCGACTTCCACTGACCTGGAACAAGCATGCAGGAAGTGAAGTTGTAGCAAGGTCACAACTGTCCCCTGTCAGTACCGAAGCCATTGAGGCAGCATGAGGGGTGCAGACCTGGCATTCTCCTGATATGGAACCCAACATATGGTACGTCTGTGGAAATAAACCAATAGGATCCCTCTTCTGGTACATACACTTTATTGCCAAAAGTATTGGCCCCTCCCCCTCCAAATAATCAGATTCAGGTGTTCTACTCCCCTCCATGGCCCCCGGTGTATAGGATGAGGCACCTCGGCATGCAGACGCTTCTACACACATTGGTGAGAGAACGGGTCGCTCAGTAGCTCGGTGACTACAAGCGTGGTGCCGCGATAGGTTGTCACCTCTGTAATAAGTCCATCCGTGACATTTCCCGGCTACTAAATATTCCGCCGCGGTCACCTGTTACTGGGATTATAACAAAGTGGAAGCAACTGGGAACAACAGCAACTCAGCCAGGAAGTGGTCGGCCACGTCACATGACAGAGCGGGGTCAGCGCATGCTGAAGCGCACAGTGCGCAGAAGTCGCCAACTGTCTGCAGAGTCAATAGCTACAGACCTCCAAACTCCATGTGACCTTCAGATTGGCACAACAACAGTGCGTAGAGAGCTTCATGGAATGGGTTTCCATGGCCGAGCAGCCGCATCCAAGCCGCACATCACCAAGTGCAATGCAAAGCGTGG